CCAAATCCTTGTGCTTTTTAGTCTCTTCCTTTTCGAATCTTTCCATCTCTTTCATGTCATGGCATAGTCTAATAATTTTACATAAAATTTTATGAATGCTATATTGCTATTGTTCAAAAAGAGATAGAAATGTGAATGCTTGTAAATTATTAGTTTAATTGATTAATTACGTCGAACATAGCTTTAGAGGCTCTTATTAGATAAGGCGACAGAATAGAAGTCTCACTGCTAGGTTTTAGTCTTAAGCATGCAGCGGTAGTCATGAATGAATGTTATACTAAATTATCCGCTATTTCATTAGGATAGCACTTGCTTAGTCTTTTTCTAGCTTGATTGCGAGGCATGGTTTGGAAAGTTCAGCGGAAAGATGGTGTATATCCACATTCAAACATATTCCTTTGTAGTTGCCCCCAATGTTTAACATCATATTTCCTCTACCTACATATGAAAAGTAAGCTAGCCGTATTAGTTTATCAACTCACGTTAATGCACCCTCACTTGCGGACTTGTGTACGGTATCACTTGCCTAACAGCTTGACAGACTTACTATCTCATTTCTTATCTTAAAGAAAGAGAAATGAGAGAGAGAGACAAATTAGGAGAACTTCTCCGAAGCAATTCAAGTATCACTTAGGTAGTAGTACGAAACCTTAAGAAAAGGTGATCTACTAGTTGAAAAGGATGCAGTTGAAGTTTTAAATATTTTTTCATATATATTTATGCTAAATCTAAAAAAAGAAGGTAATAAATTCTAGAGGTACTACACTATACTCGCCTCTGTTTCCATTTACATTTGTCCATTGTCGTCATGATTATTTTGATTTCTCATCCGGTGTCTGGTACCCGTATTGGACCCGACTATATACGAATTCACATGGTGTAGAGCCCCATTTGGGGGGAGCACCCCCTACCAAGAATTTTTTCATATTCAAAACTTGAACCCGAGATCGCTGGTACTGCACCACATCCTTTGGTGGTAAAGATAAGAAAGAATAGCAAACTAGTGGAAGTAGATCTAAAAGAGGTTCTTTACTGGAAAAGACAGTAGACAATAAGAGAGTTTCATCTTGTCAAAAACAATGTTAGGAGCTTTGAAAAAGTAAGGAATAACAATTAGGACCAAATATGCAGTGGGTCACATGAGTTGATGTTTATGGAATTTCTTTCTTTAGTGCAAGTACAACAATAATGTAATGTGGTACTTAGTTTGGTCCAGTTTCACATCCCAACAACTAAGGACACACTGCTTTTTCCTTTGTTAATTTACACCTTCTATGATTATGATCATTAATATGATTTGCTCGTGATGATCTGACCTGGTGAGCAAGTAAAATAAGCAACAAGAATGGTTTACAATCATAAGGTAATTTCCACTGCGAAATTGGATTTTAAAAAATATAATCAAAGGTACAATTGTTTCTAATTGAAAAAAGGTATTAACAAGTTAATATTTTTTAATGAAAAATTTTCAGAAACCACTAATTAACTTCCTACAGCTACCATATATATAATTACTTCCTATAGCTACTATTCAGTTGTTACGGTAGTGTATTCGTTGTATTCGCGTTGCTGTATTCATATCAGGGCAGTCCAGCTGTACGCACATGTATTTGCGTTGTTGTATTCATGAATACAACAGTAAAAAGTGTCTAAAATCAGGACAGTTCAGTTGTACGCGCATATATTCACATGTATTCGCGCCATGTATTCATGAATACAACAACAAAAAGTGCCTAAAATCAGGGCAGTCCAGATGTACGCGCATGTATTCACTTATATTTGCGTCATGTATTCATGAATACAATAACGTCAATCACCTTAAAAATAAGTATGTCCGGCTGTCTAAGAAAGAAGAAAAACATAAATTGCGTATTTCATGCCTTAATTATTTCATGCATCAATGGTAGTATATGCCATAAATATTTATTTTGCTATAAAATATAAAATATAGAAGGTAAAATTTCCTTTTTATTTATTTATCTATACTCTATGTGGGCTTGTAGAGTAAACAAATCATTGAAGCGTATGATATAAAATGAAAAAAAATGAATTAATTGACTATCGAATGAAGCCCTTACCAAGATGACTATGAGTAATTCGGGTGAGTTTATAGTTTTATACTAGCATAAGATCCATGTCAATCTTGCAACCAAATTATTTAACTTTAACTGCGGGAACCTCCAAATAAGCACATAATTTTATACAAGAATCAAAACTCTTAAAGTAAAAATAGTCGACGAATGTATAATATATATATATAATTTATGTGTAATATGTATATAACCATGTATAATATATATAGCGGCTAAAAAAAAGTAAACTATGAATCTGAAATTTATAGTGGCTCACTTATATCTTCAAAACTAGAAACTAAAATCAGTGTCTTTCTTTTATCCAAGAAGTCAGCCATCTTACTTCCAGTACGCGGAAAATTTGGTTCAATTCACAAGTTGTGCACTATATATTAATTTAAATTTGTACCGTATAGCTATTTGTTAAGTAGCAGATTAATTAAGATTTTTCTGAAAAGTGCCTCATTAACCATTTTCCCAAATGTTTTTTCCTACTTTTTGACTGAGGGGCCACATTTCTGAAGATATCATGCAGAAGTTGGATCCGATGCATAGAAACTAAGTAACAAGTAAGGCTTTTAGTTTGGAATTCCAAAGAGTATTAAATGAAAAAGGGTAAAGAAAACAAAAAAGAAAAGATACTTAAATGGGCTCGATAAAGATTTTAGTTATCCTTTTCTCGTGATTGGAAAACCGTGCAACCATACTTGATTTAAGTTCAGTCCTTTTCTTTTCTGACATTCCCAATTGAATGAAGAAGAATTCAAAAAGAGAAAAACAAAAGAGGAACAGATTTTGATGGTCATTTTTTTCTTTTCAGTTTGGTATGATTTCTCGTAGAAATGACACCATGTAGCACTCTAAAGAGTTGTTATTTACGAATTAGTCAATGCGTCTTGGATTTCAATTTTTCAATTCAAAAATATCATTCAATGCGTCTTGGATTTCAATTTTTCAATTCAAAAATATCATTCAATGCGTCTTGGATTTCAATTTTTCAATTCAAAAATATCATGAGTTGTCCTGAAGTTAAAATTTTTTGTTTAAAATTTTAAAACAAAAATAAGTACTAGTCTATGCACTTGCCCCATTTCTTTTTGTTGTTCTACTGGGCTTCAGATGTTGATGTTCCTTTAAATGGGCTGCAGTAACATACAGTCCAACTTGTACAAACAATAAATTACCAATTTCAACTCTTTTAAAACCCATAGTTTATAGTATTAAAAATTGGCCTGGGCTGGAATTTGGAAACTCCGCGTGGGCTAGAGTTTAGAAGACGTTCGAGATTTTAACGTAAATTTTTTATGTGGCGTCCAATTTTACGCTGCTCGTTGAATTTGTACCTATTTTTAAAAAAGAAATTGTAACAGATACCCAATTTTTAGATAATTTTAGATACATACATTTTTCTCTTCTTCTTCGTTGTTGCATTCTTCTTCTTTGTGCTTAGAATTTCTTCTCCTTCTCCTTAGTTGCAAAATGGATTTGTTAAATTCGTTGTTGTTTTGATAATTTGATAATTGAGGTTTGTTCTTTGTGATATTTGAAAGTTATGTTTCAAATTTGAGCTCATTTGGAGTAGATTTAGGCATTGAATCGTGTGTTGGATTGTTGAAATTCGAATAACAAGTTTATGATTTGGAACTTAAGATTCAAAATCTAAAGTTGGATAGGAGATTAAAGTACTTAAGATTCGAATTTCTGAAGTTGCATTTGAGAGATAGAAGAACTTGAGATTTGATTTTTGAAGCTGCAATGAAGAGCCTGAACTACTTAAGATTCGAATTTTCGAAATTGCATTTGAAAGATAGAAGAACTTCAAATTTGATTTTCTGAAATTGCATTGAAGAGGTTGAACTACTTCATATTCGAGTGAGTACACTTTGCAAATTTTTGTGCAATGCGGGTATAACTTCAATGGTGACATCAAAAATGGGTATATATGAAAATGCCCCGCTTTTTACATATTTTGCCGGTCGATTGAAACTAATTACAGCTGCTAGCTAAATATACATAAAATATATATATATATATATTTTATGTACAAAACTTATTTTTCGACTATCGAATTTAAATAGTTTCTCGCGGGCTAAAAGTGAAAACCCCATTTAAATACTGTGCTGAGTTAGTGAGAGTGACCTTTTGCAAAGTACATTGTGTTAAGTTGTAAGAGCATTCTTAAAACAAGATTACTCTTAATCATTATGCCAAAGTATAAGCTTTAGATTTGGTCAACGATAAATTTATCAAGTAAAACTAATGAAAGTCACGCATTGGTCTAGAAAATGAGATGTTGTCTTGACAATCCTCACTTAATCAATTGAGTTAGACCCAAAAATTATTTTTATTACGGTTATAATCTTTAGTTAAATAAAAATTAATAAGTAGACACACTTCATTAGAATAAAACTGCAATTTATAAGTTCCATTTGTTATATTCAGTATATTGTATTGAAACTAACACCTTATGTTAATATTACAGAATACTTACTCAACATACATTTCACAAAAATTAGGAACTGAAGTCGGAATTTATTTAAAAAATTGGCATAACTGAAACCTACTTACTTTAAGGGAAAATGACATTGAACAATCGCTTTGAAAATAATAGTCAAATAAATAAATAAATATATATATATATATATATATTATGTATGTTATATACAAAAATTAAACAAACTTTATACTTTACTTTTAAATAATTTCTGATACGGGCTATAAAAGTGAAAAAAGTCCTTATATTATTTTAATTGGATAGAATAGTTAAAAGAAAAGGAAAATAAATACGGCAGAGAATTTTAAGCCCCAAATTGAAGTCTCCCAACTAATTCAGGGTCCCTCATTGAATTCAAAACTGACGTGTCACTGTCACATGTAGAAATCTTTTTTTGCTTCTCCAAATGTTGTAAATCCTGCAAAAATATCAATCAATTACTAGTACTAGTACTATATACCAAATATTAACGTTGTATTTCCTGTTCAGTGTCTTCTCAGGTAAGTTCATCTTGTCTTTACAGAAAAACCCTTTTGATTTCACACTGTAATTTTATTCTTCATTGATTACTTACACGTTATATACGTGTATTCATTTACGTAAATACAGGTCAGGCAGTATATAATTATAAGTAATAAAGTTTTAGACACAAATGGCGGTGTCGTTTTATTGGACTGTGTCAAATGATTATAACAGAAGCACATTCGGATCATATTAAAAAGAATATACTTTTTTTCAGCCAACTGTTCTTCAACTTATAGTCTTGGCGGTTATTGGTTCTGAACTATGATTTCTTTTCTATTTTATATTTCTTTTTTTGGTTTTCTTGATTTGGGACCCTAATCAGCTCAACACTGAATTTTGAGCTGGGTTCAGTTTCTGATACCATTTTATTACTGTTTTTTTCGTTTGATTTGCTGGGTATTCAGCAAATTTTGTGTATTGTTGTAGTGTATGTGTATCCCCTTTTAGTTTTCTTCTTCTTTTTGTCTGTCTTTTTTCCAACAAAGACAGATTCTTTTCTTGATCTGTCTTTGAATTTTGATCAATTATTGTTCTTTGATCCTTTTCTTGAAAATTCAAATAAGCCGGGGACAATAAAAATTGGGGAAACTATTAAAAATTGGATCTTTGTGGGAAATATTTGGAAATTAATGGATGTGATGAGTGAAATGTAGCAATTAAGCTTAAAAATTTACAATCTTGATGAATTGGGGTTGTGATTTGTGATGTGGCAATAAGACTGTGTTAAGTGGAAGCTTTGGCAGATATTCGTATTATTTTTAAAAATGAATACTATGGGGAGGATAGGTAGCTACATTGGGAGAGGAGTAAGTAGTGTTTCTGGGACTTTCCATCCATTTGGTGGTGCTGTAGATATCATAGTGGTGGAGCAACCAGATGGTAGTTTTAAATCCTCTCCTTGGTATGTTCGGTTTGGGAAGTTTCAAGGGGTTTTGAAGGCGAAAGAAAAGGTGGTTCATACAACTGTCAATGGCGTTGAAGCGGGATTTCATATGTATTTAGATAATAGAGGACAAGCTTTCTTTCTAAAGGAGTTGGATATAGAAGATGGAGGAGACTCTTTATTTTCTTCTTCATCCTCGGGTGAGGATACTGATGGGCAAACGAGTAGTAAGCCGCCAACAAAATCAAAGAGTTGCAATTATGATGCTGTTGACTCTATTTCAGTTACTCAGATTAATGTGAGCGGTGAGGATGTCTTGGTGAGGGCTAATTCCCGAAAACCTGGGATTTTAGGCAGGGTTTTTGGGAGGAAGTCGATGAAGAGTTACAGGCCTCTCGAGGAAGACACTAATGCCAGTGTTATCAGGGCAGACTCGTTGGAGTGTGCTGAAATGGCAGCTGATCTCTTAGAAATGAAGTGGTCTACTAATCTGACCCCCAAGAGGTACAGTAGAGACTACGCTACACGAATTTCTGCCGAAGATACGTCACAGGGTGTTAAAGATGAGTACTTGCAAATTAATGACACAAAAAGTGATATGAGTTTTCCGTCACATGATAACAAGTTAGACAATCTTGATTTCCGTGAGTCTGCTCGTGAGAAGGATGATGGTAATCAACTGATCTTTCAGGCTCTAGAGAAGTCTGTCAAGAAATCTAGTAAACATGTGTTATTTTCAGCATCTGAGAATGCTGCAAGAGTGTCAACTGTTGTCCAAGGTGGCGAACATTATAGTGGTGAAGAAAGCTTAAAGAGTTCTTATGACGGTGGTGACCTAGGCATAGTTAATGCTGATCATGATGCCAAGGGTATTACATTTATATCTGAGGTTTCAAATTCCAGTTCACAAGTTGTGAACTCCGCTGAGCTTGAGAGACACGATTCTTTTGCAACTAACCATCTTTCAGAGGAGGAAAATGAAACTGCTGCGGTCCAATCTTTTTCCTATTGTGAAACTGAAGAGAACTCAACAGCAGTGCTAGATGTTTCAATTGAACAAGTTACTCAAAACTTGTGTGCTTCTCGTGATCTAGAAGCTTGTATGCATCCCCAAACGCTTCTCGGTGTGAATGATTTAATGGCAGTGGGGAACTCTCAACCAGAAGAGGATTTATTAGTTGAAAAGGATTCTTCAAATGTTCAAGGATTTGAAAAAAATGAAAACTGTTTCAAGGATTTAACCAACAAAATCTGTGCAAACTCAACCACTCATTTTTTAGTCTGTGAGAGTGGCTCATTGAATAGCTCTGCTGCGGAAGCAGATTTTGGGTGGATTTTGCCTATGTCTTCTTCAGAAGCTCTTGGTGATCCTCATGAATCTAGCGGCAGTTTGGTCCCACTTACTGTTCCTTCATCAGAAAGCTTGGAGGAACAGCAGCTTCTCTTTGGTGACATTGATGGTTGTGGTGACACGGTTGCCAGATACGCAGAGTCCATTTCTTTAGATTATAAGGAAAAAGACTATCTAGTCCCAAAGAATGAGCCTGGTCCTGCTCTGGAAAAGTCTATCCAACGTGATCCGCCATTTGTTGCAGATGGAAGAAAACTCAAAACTGTATCAAGCAACGTTGACATTCCTGTAGTAGTTCAGGATAACGAAGTTATGCGGATGAGCAGATCTCTACCCAATATGTGGTCTCCTGATAATGATATGCCTTCTAACCCCGATGACCTAAACTCATCAATTGTACTACAGACAACAGAAGTTGCTGAGGTCGCAGAGGAGGTGCAAAATATTTCAGCCACTCCAAAAATTGGTAAAAGAATATTTAAATGTGCACCTTTTTTTAAATCATTTTGAAGCTTATTATAATGCTTTTTCTACTCTTTACTCGTGTACTATGTGTATTAGTTTGAGTTTCAGATAATTTTCTCATTTCTCCGGTGAAACTGTGATTTTACCTTGAGACACTTGAAGTGTATTTTTGTTTTAGATCGCCTGAGTGGTTATGCCTCTTTGCTGGACCAATAAATTAGGAAAGATAATTATTGACGAGTTTAATTGAATCTTTACAGAAAGAGATGCCAGATCCAATAATTTATCGAGTGGGAACTGGAGATCATGGTCTTTTTCTTATAAGAGATCAAAAAGCCAGAAAAGTTCTGGCTCATCCGTGGATGAAGATGTAAACTCTGATGCTAAAAGTATTTCAAATAACACAGGTGGTGTCAGAGAAAAAGATGTGCCCAGGTCAAGGATTTCTAAGAAGAAAATAATGTTAACCACTCCAACATCTGAACAGCTGGCCACTTTGAATCTGAAGGAAGGAAAGAATATAGTTGTATTCACGTTTTCGACTGCGATGCTGGGAACACAGCAGGTCATTTGCTTGGACTTTTATTTACATCCCCCTTTTGTGTTTGAGCACGTTCAAGAAACTTTACATCTATCTTTCTGTGTGCAAACGCTTCCATGCTTATAATTTGTCCTAGATGCATACTTCACAGGTTGATGCACGTATATATTTGTGGAGATGGGACTCAAAGATTGTTATATCTGATGTTGATGGAACAATTACTAGGTAATTGATTCATTTCTACTATAGATTTTGAATGGATGCCTCAGTGTTTATTATTCAATATCTATTTGTACAGGTCAGATATGCCAACCTTTTTCTGTTACAAAAATCTGGCTTATCCTTTTTTTTGGATAAGTAGGAATCGTCTTGTCCGATCATCAACTTTAGCAATTACATTTTTAGCCGTAAATTGCTTTCTACATGTGGTTAACTTTGTAATTCACTTCCATGTCCTACAATCTAAGCATTGGATGTGATATGTTCTCAATTGATGAGCCTTAACATGATGCACCTGGAACTGTTGAAAATTCCACAAGCCGAGGACTCACCCTTCCCCATAGATTGTCATAAACCAGATTTAAGAATAGAGTTCAATTTATAATTTATTGTAGAGAAAAACGGTCAAAAGTTAGATATGAAGTGGACGTTTAGGTACGAGTGAGATTTTATCTTTTAAAAAGGGAACCTTCAAGATGGAATTTGGAAAACAAATTTGGAAACTTCTTCCAAATTCTCCCTTAACTGTGTACCAAAATTGTTTTTGATCGGTAATACATAAGTGTATTGTAACTAGAAATCAATTCAAACTTCTGACAGAGAATCAATGCTGAGAAAACTGCTGAACATTCATGTAACAACGCCCATACTTTACACCATCTGACCTTGAAACATTCTACTGGAAAATAGAGATTGTTTGGTGGTGCAGCCTGAAGTGTATGGTTATCAGAAAGAAGGAAATGAAGGATCTGATACTTATTTACTGTACTCCAGTAGGAATGCAATTTAGCTGAGTTCAAGCAAATAATTGATAAGTTTGGCATGCCTCCTGACTTTTAGATCAGCTAGATTGAGCCGTAGAATTTTTTGATTGAGATTCTATGTTGTGTCTTTCCATCAAAACATGGAATATCAACAGAAAAAACCTGTCATTTCTAGCAAATTTTCCCTCCCTTGTCTTTTGTTTTGTTCTGCCCTCACTTCTACTAATTCATAAGTGTTACTTTTTAAAGGCGGAAAAATTACAACTCTTCTTGGTTGAGTCATTCTTTATCTGGAAATATCTATAAACTGAGACGATATATTGAAACAAGTGGAAGTTGGTTTACATTTTTCAACTTGTTCGATCAGATCTCTAGGGTCCAAACTTTGTTATGCTGGTTTTCTTTTCTCCTCTTCAAACTTCTGTTGGGTCCACTCTTTGGTTCCTTAGCGAACAAGAAGAGTAGACTTCTATCTGAGCTGATTGATATATGACAAACACTATAAATGTTTTATATAACAAAGGTAATATCCCCTCCTTTTCCCTGTGCGTCTTTGATGTGATATTTTTCTCAATTAAACAGATCTGATGTTCTAGGGCAGTTCATGCCTTTGGTTGGGATGGACTGGTCACAGACAGGCGTTGCACATCTTTTTTCGGCTATCAAGGTCCGTATACTTCATTTGTTTTCTCTTCTCCCCTTTACTTGAGGTTTATTCAGACTAAGTGTGAGAAGGTATTCTGCCACTTCTGTAGTTCTGGCAAGTAATCTGTCATTAGATCCCGGATTTTACTTTAAGAATGTTCGTCTTATATATTGTGAATATGTTTTCTGCCCTTTTTCCTCTGTTTGCTCAGGCTCGAAATGTTTCTATACTTCTTCTATGTAAATAAAACAATTTGTCACTCATTATAGGATAAGAGTGCATAATCACTAGACAATCCTCTTTGCTGCAGGAGAATGGATATCATTTGCTTTTCCTAAGTGCACGTGCTATTTCACAGGCCTATCTCACTAGACAATTCCTGTTTAAACTTATGCAGGTAGTTTGATGAAAAGAAAATTTGGCTCAAGTAATCACTTATTTTCTCCTCATCCACTAATTTGACTTCATTTTTTTAAAATAATTTCAGAATGGGAAGGGATTACCGGAAGGACCAGTTCTTACATCTCCTGATGGAATTTTCCCTTCTCTATTTCGAGAAGGTCACCCGTTATTCCTTTCTTTATATTGTGAAGAGTTTGTTTTTCTTTGCTCCAAACTATGCATCCCATTGAGTTGCAAATATAATGTTTTCCATATTCTTATGAATCATGATTATTAGAATTAAACAAACCCATCCATTATCACCTGGGTAGACTAAAAATAAGACCATGTTGTACTTTCTATCCTATGTATTATTTTTATTGGGGATGCTGGTAGAGCATTGAAGTAGAAGTAAGCTGTTGTTGCTTACTGTTTGCTTCCTCTCCTCTTTGATGAGCATATTTGCACCGTAACCCCACTCTTGCTACCCCACGTTTCTGAAAAGCATTTCCTTACTGGCAGAGTGCTCACATTGCTGCTCCCACTTTTATATGATTTTTTATTTAAGTGCATTTAAAGAGGGAATATATTCAAGAAGTAACAACTATTTTATTGGAATTATCTACTCCAGTGAACATGATATGATGCCTGAAAGTTATATGCTATCAATTGTTAGATATTTTCTGATTTTTCTTGCACTTTTTTATGTCCTTTTTTAGTTCTTTAGTTGTTTTTGCGATTTTTAACTATCCTACCATTGACAATTACCTCTATGGCTCTGTGATAAAAAGGAATGATAGTTGTTATTTCTGGCAAACGTGCCTCAAACTGTATTAGTAATAACATGCATTTAGAATGCAAAAGGCATTATTGGTTCAGTCGCTGCTGGTTTCATGCAAAACGCATTATTGGTTCACTGGCTGCTGTTTCATGTTTTTGCTACAGCATGAACTTAAAATGTGAAAGAAGCTATTTTCTTCGGCATTGCAACTTTAACCTCCATGCTTGCAGCATGTCTTGATTGAGTAACTAAATATTAAGTAATTCCTTCGAGAAACTAAAAATGCTCCAAATGTTGCTAATATTATGATTGAGATATGCATCTACCCTTTTACCTTTTGCAGTGGTTAGAAGAGTTCCTCATGAATTCAAAATCGCTTGCTTAGAGGTCAGTTTCTTGATTCAGACATGCTTCCTTTTTTTCTTAATAGAACTTTTAGCTTATTAAGCAAACAAATTTTTGTACGTCTTCCAAAGCCATGGGGCTAGGGAGGCTCTCAGACTTTTGCTTCGATGATCTGCATTTGGTAGAGTGCTTTTGTCTTTTTACTGAATTAATGACGACTTAATTCTATGTTTAGTCCAATCTTTTTTTTCTAGCTTAAGGGAGTTTTAACATGTAAACGTAATACAATCCGAGTAAGAGAAATAGATGGGTATTTAGTGCTTTTGAATTTTGATGCACGAAGACTCACTCTTTACACTAGCAGATTTCCAAATGCTCAAAATGTCTAAACCAGTTGGTTGATACACTGAGATTTGGTCACTGTTTAACTGATCTTACTGCTGTTTAAGGTGATGAGAAATTGGGTTGTTTGGGGTGCCGCACTTAAAATATGGCTGTGCAGAAACATCAAAATGTATTTATTGAAATAAATTGCAAGATGGATATAATAGCTGTTGCTTCCAAACGCACACGCAAGTATACGTGGACAGGTAATATAAGATTGTAAGTCAAGATATCTTACCCACAGGGACTTGTGATTAACTATCAACTAAATTAAACTAAGACAATTAATCTATTCAAGCGATTTTCTAAAGATTATTAACTACAACTAATCTAGAATAGCAAACTAAGAGATTAAAGTAAACAATTTGGCGACAATATTCTAGAGCTATAGGTTAGCTAACAATCCCGTTGAGTTTTCTACCTAAATTGTCTAATTAATTTATCTAGTTTATTGATTGACAGGGTTAATATTACTCGTAGCCTTCTCCCGAAGTACTAATCGCCTATTCAAGCTAACCTAACGCCTATATTCCTATGGAATTAGGATTAACAAGAACGCATTAATAATTCCTGTATAGTAACCAAGTAAGGCGATTAGGTATATTCCTTTCCTAACCGCAAATCCGTTCCCGATGCTCAGGTTAAAGATCTTTCTCTACTCAATCTTATATGCAATCTAGAATTCCCTCTCCCGAGTTTAATCCTAGATTCGTAGATAGTATTTAATTGGTGATCAAGCAATCAAATAATTAAGCCCAAGATTGAATAAATAAACCAATATGATAAAATAATAAGAACAATTCAAGCTTCAAACTACAACGTTCATGTAGCACCCACAACTCTAGAACTAATGAACTATAAAGTTAAAGGAAGAGAAGAGAAAGAAAAAATTGAGAATCCTTGCTCCCGAGTGTTCCGTGCGTGTTCTTCCCTCTCAAAGTGGCGTCTCCACTCTCAAAAATATGTTCTCCCCCTCCAAAATAGGTTTAGACTTGCTTTTATACAAGTTGGGGGCGTCTTGGGTCGAAATAACCTTGTCCCGGGCGAAGTAGGACAACATCCCGTCAACATACTTTAAGCCGAATATCAATAGCTAATAAGAGAAAACATGAAACTTTGGGAAACATCTTTTACCATAAACGCAAGAAAGGTTTTCTTTCTTTTTCTTTTCCTGTATTTTGTTTTATTTTTCTGTTTATCATGGGTTTTCTATGGGAATAATAAAGTATGCAAATTCTTGAGGTCAAGGAGTATCTAAATTACTGTCTCTGCAGAAGATATATTTACTAACTTTGAGCAATTTCTCTTATATCTATGGCAAGAATTGCAGATTGATAACCTGTTAACTTTCAAGTTTGCAGGATGTAAAAGCATTGTTCCCTCCTGATAGGAATCCCTTTCCCTTCTATGCTGGTTTTGGAAACAGACTCACGGATGAGATCAGCTACCTCAAGGTTGGAATACCTAAAGGGAAAATCTTTACCATCAATCCAAAGGTATGTAGTCAACTGTTACTGTCAACTGTTGCAGATAACTCTTAAAGAACGTTTCTGATGACATTTTTTATAATCTACAGGGTCAAATTGTTGTAAATCGCCACATAGATACAAAATCATATACCTCTCTTCATTGTCTTGTCAATGGCATGTTTCCAGCCATGTCCTCATGTGAGCAGGTTGGATTTTTTCCTCTATGAATGATTATTAGCTGGTTAATCATGTGATAGAGTAAAGAGCAGTATGTGATCTGTTCCTTCAATTTTTTCTCATCTGCAAAGAGATGTAGGATGTAATTAGATTTCTTGAAGTGGAGTATCAGAGTCACTTTCGTCGTGATGTTCACTTTAACGACTCATCATCTTGTTCAGTCATGAACAAGGTTTTCTTTATTTAGAGACTTAAAACTTTTTCTAAAGTTATAGTAGATTCGCTACACTCAAGTTCTCTTCCTTGTCTTCCGTGGAAGCTGAAACTTCTGCACTTGTCATCATTCTGTTTCAAAAGAATGTCTGTTGTGCAAGGTCCGGCAGTGAAGTAGCAGCCATTTGGTGTGCCCCTCTCTGCAGCGTTGCTGTAGTAGTGTTTTTTTCTTCTTTGCTGATTATTACTATTATCGAGGTTGGGATTGAGGCATAGTTGGTGTATCATCGTTATCTTTATTCTGTTGGATGACACCTACTTTTAAGCGTGTCCCCTTCTTGAACACTCTGTCTATGAAACGGGGGTTGGACAAAATTCTTTTTCGATAATTGAACCAATCTTAGAAAGCTAAAAGGTAAAACTTTAGGAATGTCCTTTGGCTGGAAAGTTTTTATGGCCAACATGAAAAGTCTAATAGTTAATGAATTGGAAGAAGTAATTGGTTGCATTGTTTTGCAGGTTATGGAGCCTAATAGTGCTGAAATTTGAAATCTTATTTTAGAAAGTTAAAACCATGTTACGGAGTAAAGAAAATTGAAGTAAAGAGCTTTGAACCTCAGTCCTTTTCGCTTGGCCGGACATGTTTTTGTTATTGTACTTAAAAAATCAGAATCAAATAAGGGATACCTAGCTTATCCTGGATAGCAAAAATACCAACATTTTCAGTTGAAGCTACACTATTTTTTCGATGTTAATGTTAAGAGTATCCCACACCACATTGGTTGTGGGAGTAGGTTGTGTCCTTGCATGGTTTTGGAAAAATCTCATCATACGAACTAGCTTTTGCGGTTGAATTAGGTTCAAAGTTAATTTTCTTAACATGATATGACAACCAGACCCGTCATTGTTGTTGTGTTTTCCAATGTTGTGGCCCTTCAATTACGTTACTCATGTTCAAGATGTCTAGTGCTGGGTGTGCGGAGGTGTTACAATATCCCAATTGAGGAAAGTTTTTATTGTTCCTTTTTGTGTGTAAATGTTAAATTAGATGGCAGCTTGTTGAAGAAGTAATTAAGTAAATAAAAGTATGCTATTTGTAATAGCTTAAGCTTTTAGATCAGAAAGTCGCACACTTCAAAATAGCTTAATCAAAGTGTTGCTTGATTGTATCCCGTATTCTCTTGGAATATGAGTTCTTCGGTGCTATATGTCTGATATACATCCAATGCTGACTGAAAAGCAAAACCTTACTCTTGCCCAACAATTTTCGGTTTTCTTCAGGAAGATTTTAATTCGTGGAATTTCTGGAGATTTCCACCTATTGATTGAAAATTAGCAGTCCATCCTAAACTATTTTTTAAGATTCAAGGGTGGTACTCCCACGGCCACGGAAAGATTCAGGTAACTATTGTTTATGCTTTAACTTAAAATTTATTCTTGTTTCTAAGCGATAGCCTGTCTGCATGCTAAAGATATCATTTACCAAAGACAGAGAACTGAAATTACAGGATTTTGTTTGCCAAGACATAAGAGTAGATTCAGTACTCAATCTGTGGTCTAATGTATATGCTTTTACTTTTACTTTTACTTTTTCTTTTACTTTTTCTTTTGCAGCAAAAGGCTAGAGTCAATACTATAAATAGCTAGCATGTGCTTGACCGAACATACAGACAAGCTCCTTGTAACTGTATATTTTGTACACTCATCCTGGAGGAAGAAAATCGTATACTCAATTTTCCGATATTGTACTCATCGATCATAGGCTTGTCGATTTGCTTGGACATAACATGTATATACATAATTATGGGAGGAAAATACAAACAGGTTCCACGCTTCAGGATGAGGTGAACTTTGTAAATTGTTGTAGTATTATATGTTCTTGAGAAGGTGTAGATTTTGTAGTAGTTCAGTCATTTATATATACTTTAGCTTATAATGAACAGAACTGTTATAGCAAAGTGTTATTGATATGAAAAGCTGTTTTTAGCCTGTGATAGTTCGTTGACTGTAGAGCGTGATACTAATGATGCATACATATTTGAATTGTGAACGAGACATATGAGTATATTGGACCTGCATTTGAAGTAATTTTTTTGTATGAAGGCTTTAAGTACTGGATTTAGTACTTGAAGCTGTTTAAATTTACGGCGAAGGGCCAAATATATTCCTGTACTTTCGAAAATGGTCTAAAAATATTTCTCGTTATACTATTGGGCTATATATACTTTTCCCGTCATACTTTGGAACAAATATACCCTTATTTTGGATCGAACGCCACGTGTTAGCACCAGATGAAAACGATCCATTTTTTATTTTACCCGATCCGTTTTAAAAAACCCATCACCCGATCCGTTTTAAAATTCAGTTTTTTTAAAGCATATATTTTGTAAAAATTGGAATTTATTTTTGTAAAAACTGAAAGAAAAAAAAAAGGAATTTGCAAAATATATATATTTTTAAGTCTTTTCAGTTTTTTTTAAGTATTTTTTTTGTAAAAATTGAAAAAAAAATAAAAAGAATTTGCAAAATATATATTTTTAAGTCTTTTCAGTTTTTTTAAAGTATTTTTTTTGTAAAAATTGAAAAAAAAATAAAAAGAATTTGCAAAATATATATTTTTAAGTCTTTTCAGTTTTTTTAAAGTATTTTTTTTGTAAAACCTGAAAAAAAATATGTTTTTTAAAAACTAAAAAAAAAAAGACTCTCCTAAAGCAGTGGACTACATATGCATTAGTTTTAAAAAAATAAAAATATTTTGTAATTATTTATTTTTTTCAGTTTTTACAAAAAAAAAACTTTAAAAATGCTTTAAAAACTGTAAAATATATATTTTACAAATTTCTTTCTTTTTTTTCTCCAGTTTTTACAGAATATATATTTTTCAGTTTTTAAAGCATTTTTAATTTTTTTTAATTTTTTTTTTCATTTTTTACAAAACAAATACTTTAAAAAAACTGAAAAGACTTAAAAATATATATTTTGCAAATTCCCTTTCTTTTTAAAAAAAAAATTTTACAAAAAAAAATTCCACTTTTTACAAAATATATGCTTTAAAAAAATTGAATTTTAAAACGGGTCGGGTGATGAGTTTTTTAAAACGGATCGGGTAAAAAAAAAATGGGTCGTTTTCATCTAGTGCTGACACGTGGCACTCCATCCAAAATAAGAGTATATTTGTTCCAAAATATGACGGGAAGAGTATATATAGCTCAATAATATAACGATGGTATTTTAGACCATTTTCGAAAATACAAAGGTTTATTTGGCTTTTCACCGTTAAATTTAATACTTTCTCCTGGACCCCGCGCAACGCGGAAACTTAGTGCACCAGGATTTTTTTTTTTTTTTTTTTTTTTTTTTTTGGGGGTAGTACGAGTTAGAGTTTGCGATTTACCTGCGGACTATTCTCTCTCCTTTCCTCCTATGTAAGCGTGTAACAAAAGAAGTTAAAAGAATTTTTTTAAAGGAAAGAGATAGATTTATATTAAATTAAACCACAAGTGTTACAAATCTCAAATAATATTCAAATAAATAACTACATAACATTTTTGAGAGACCCTTGAAATTAAAAAGGAAATACGAATACACTCTAATACACTCTTGCCTTGACTTCAATTTCTATCCTATCAAGTAAATACATCTTACACGCCTTAACAAAATAAACCCTTTTGATTTAACCGTCTATTTTTTTAATATACTATTTTTAATTATTTACACATTTGATACATGTGTAGTTTAACAATATACGAGTCACAATATATGTTTTTTCGGGAAAAAAAAATATATAAAATAGCTAGATTTATAACTGGTAATTAAAAAATAGCCACAATTTCAAAAGTAATCGAAATTTAGTCACTTTCATGTAAAGATAAAATCTGAATAAAAACAACCTTAAAGATCCTGAACAGGGGCGGCTCGACCAATTTCGTGGCCTAAAGCCAAACTTTATGAGGGGCCTTGACTTTTTTATTAATAAAATATATTTTATTTTATTTGAAGTCTATTTTTCTAAGTTTTTTTAGATGCAAAGTTATTATTAATTTTTATAATCAATTTCTCCTAATACGTCTTTCTCAATTGACAATATAGTTAATTCATTTAATATCTTTAAGACATTGTTGATCTTAGGTAAGGTTTTATCAATTTTAATTTTGAAAAACTTTTTTCCGTTGAAGCAACAGTAATAAGAGTTATTAACATTATTCTATAAGTAAAATAGGCATTTGAAAAATAATCAAATCCTTTTATTTGATTGAGTATATCAATTAAATTGTTATCTTCTAATTGTACTATTTTTCTTAATATTTTTGATTCATAAAATAAATATAAACTATCAATACCGGGTTGATTATTATGATTTAAGGAGCATTCAAGATGAAGGAAATATTTTTCAAATTTTCATCAACTAGTGATCTCAGTTTTTACTGCTAGATAGAAAAATAAAAATATTTTCATATGCCTCTAATTGTTCAGATCTATTTTAAAGTGAAAAAACAACCTTGTCAACTACTATCTCCGGCCCATAATAAGTATTTTTTTTTTTGCCTTTTATTTTGGTCCAAAATAAGTGTCCTTTTATATAATCGAGAATGAATTAACTTTATTTTTCCAAAATTTGCCCTTATTTATATATCTCAATGTGTCAAGTTAACAACATATAAATTTTAATTAAGGATAATTCAATCAAAATACATTTTTGTTCTAGGAGTCAGTATTTTTTTAAAGGGCACATTAAAGGTTAAAAAGTCATTTATTATGGATCAAAGGGAGTATGTATAAAAAGTAATCAACTCTAAAGGACACTACGAGAGATTTTGAGATTTTACTATTAACATTCTCCTCAAATTGTTTCTTCATATATATTACAGGTTTCTTATGAAATTCGGGTTCGATATTAATTTCAAATGCAATTTCCTTGGCCGATCAAAGCAGTTGCAAATCCTTCATCCCTTTATTTGTTAAATAAAGAAATCAAACCTTTTCACTTCACATAACTTTTTTAAAAATTTATATATAGCCTATTAGGTGGTAAAAAAAATTGGGCCTCCACAAATGTGGGGCCTAAATCAGTTGTTTTACCTGCTTTATGGACGGGCCGCCCCTGATCCTGAAATATTCCAGCATAATATGCTGGAGTTCGAAATTTCTACATATGAGGTTCCAGCATAATGTGTTGGAGTTCCAACATAATATGCGAGAGGTTTATATACAGGAGCTCCATAATCCAGCATATTATGCTGGAACTTTACGTGTGATGGAGTTCCAACATCATATGCTGGAAGTTTATACGCAGGAGCTCCATAGTTCCTCATATTATGCTGGAACTTTCCGTGTTTAAGCAAAACAATGGCTATTTTTCAATAACTTTACAAATAGTGGATGTTTTTGTGCTATTTTTTCCCTTCCATCTCAACTTATATAATACGCTCTCCTTTTAGTTGATAAAAAAGAATATTGTATTTTATATTAAATAATTTATTTATTTTACCTTTAACGAGATAATTTATAAATACATAAATATGTATGATTTATTTTAAATCATAAATTTAAAAGTCTTTTATTTTTTCTCATTATTAAATGGAGACAAAAGAAGTATAAGTGTATAAAAATTACTACTCCATTAGAGACATTGGCGGTGTCGTCTTATTGGACCGTGTCAAATTAGTGAGAAAAAATATCAGCTATGTCCATTTATAAGTAACCTATTATAAAAATTGGCCAATTTATAAAATATTATTAATATTAATCAAATAGTTATTTGTAGCCAAAAAAGGTCAAATATTTGCTTTCTTTTGAGTGTGTGTTATTAGAATAGATTTGGTAAATCTTAAGGAACTTGAATCTCAGTTTTGGGACGATTTTGTGGAGTTTTGAGGTGGTTTGAATTGAAAATTCGAAGTAGAAGATGAACATGAAAAAATGATAGGTGTATCACACTGTGTATCACTTTGTATATCATATTTGTATCAAATGTGTATCAAGTGTGTATCACATGTATATCCATGTATCCACTACGTGTGAGATACATGCGTGATACATGTGTCGCAGAAGAATTTTTTGAACTCGATTTTAACTACGAATTTTGAAATCAAATCAGTTCAAATCACCTCCAATCTTCCCNATATATATATATATTGTATTTCATCACCTTATTTGTTACTTCATTCATAAAATTTTCTTCCTGTCTTAGCATTTAATACTGCTAATCACGCTTAAAATATAAAATTTGTATGTGATTATTAGAGAGAAAACACCTTATTTTTTTGAGTTTTTAATTTTTATATATATTCCGCTAGTTTTGATAAGTACTACAGTGCGGTAAGTTAGGAGTTAGGACATTTCGGTAAGATTCCAATTAATTATAGCAGTGGCACATTCGGATATCATTTTAGAAAAGAATATATGCTCTTTCAGCCAACCTTTTTTTTTTTTCTTGGTCGACCTTTCAGCCAACTATTATTCAACGTTTAAGTTTGAAGTCTTGGCGGTTTTAATACTGCAAGAATACTATCTTTTTATTTTTCGTTTTTTTTTCATTTGTGACCCTGTCCACTGATTAATTTCTTGAGCTGGATTCAGTTTCTGCTACAATTTATTTAGGTATACTTTTCTGTGTTTTCAGCAAATTTGTGCATTGTTATAGTATATATATGTTTTCCTTCAGATATTCGTCTTTTATCTGCCTTTTTCTAAGCAAGAAAGCTCGTTTTTTCACCGGTCTTTGAATCTTTATCAATTAATGTTCTTTGATCATTGTTGTTAGAATTCAAATACGTGAGCGAGAGAATTGATTTGGGAATCAAGTAAAGATTGAATCTTTGTGAGAGAATCTAAAGATTTACGTGAGGGAATGAATGGATTGTTGCAGATGAGCTTAAAAAAAATCAATCTTGATGAATTGGGGGTTTGATTTGTGACGTGGCAATAAGACTGTGCCAAAGTGGAAACTTGACAGATTTTCTTCTATTAAGAAAATGAACACTGTATTTGCATAATATTGGCATGAGATGATTTAAACGAGTAGCGGAACCGAATTGGTACTGAGGCGTATTTGTTGTTGTTGTAAGAGAATGAATACTGTGGGGAGGATAGGTAGCTATATAGGTCGAGGCGTACGTAGTGTTTCTGGGACTTTAAATCCATTTGGTGGTGCTGTGGATATCATAGTGGTGAAGCAACCAGATGGGAGTTTGAAATCCTCTCCTTGGTATGTTCGATTCGGAAAGTTTCAGGAGGTTTTGAAGGCAAAAGAAAAGGTGGTTAATGTAAGTGTCAATGGCGTGGAAGCGGGTTTCTGTATGAATTTAGATAGTAGAGGGCAAGCATACTTTCTAAGGGAGCTGGACATGGTAGATGGAGATTCTTTAACTACTCGAACATCCGAACAGCTAGCAACTTTGAATCTGAAGGAGGGAAAGAATGTAGTTGTATTCACATGCTCGAAACAGCAGGTCATTTGCTAAGACTTCTTTTCATTGCACATTGCTTCGGTGTTTGATTCTTTTTTTTTACTATTGGTTAACTATTGTGTGCTTATGCAAATGCTTGCTTATAATTTGTTTGAGATACATACTTTGCAGGTTGATGCGTGTATATATTTGTGGCGATGGGACACAAATATTGTAGTCTCTGATGTTGATGGAACAATTACTAGGTAAAATTGATTCACTTTTCTGCTATAGATGGTTGGTGCTATTGATTTCTCTATGAGCTTGCTGTTGTGTCCAAGACTTGCTATTTTGTTCTACTTTGATCACGGAGAATGTAACAATTATCAGCTTTTTTGATTAAAAAAGTTGATAACTGTTACATTCTTTGTGATCAAAGTTGAACATAATAGTTCAAAAAAGTTGCTACTTGTGATATTCTTTATGATTAAAGTTGAAAATAGCAAGTCTTGGACACAACAATTACTCCATCAACTTTTGATTAGTCCAAATGGAGTGTTAATGGTAATTATTTGATATTTTCTTGTGTAACTCTTTTCTGTTACATGAACCTCATATCGTAACATCAACATCAACTTTATTAAGTACAATGTTTGGCTGTAAATTGCTTTTTTGGTGTAGTTAACTTTGTGATTCACTTCCATGCACATATCCTAGAAGCAAGGAGGCGTTCTTAATTGATGAACCATAGTGTGATTCACTTAAAAGTGTTGAAAACACAAGTCCAATATCCCTCTTCCTGATTAGATTTTCTTAGTTTGCCCTGGAGATTGAGAACAGAGCTGATATATAATTTAGTGTAGAGAAAAGTGGGTCCCAATTTAGAGGTAATGTTGTCATTTTTGGTATTTTTGAGGTTTTATCTTCGTACTTTCGAAAGGGAACTTTCAAGATGCAGTTTGGAGTCCCAACACGGAGACTCCTTCCAAATTTACCGTTGACTCTGTCCCTTAAATTTTCCAGAGAGTTGCCATGGTATAATAATATAACCAGAATTGAATTCAAAACTACAAGAATCTATGCTGAAAAAACTCGTTCACATTCATGCTATGTTGCTCGGACAGTTGGACTCTCCAAAAATGTCTCCGGTGTGTGCCGGATCCTCCAAAACTAGTGCATTTTTTGAGGATCCGACGCGGGTGCGGCAGCTTTTTTTGGAGAGTCCGGGCAACATAGCATTCATGTCACGTACTACACACTAGGTTACTTCAGTCATAAACTATTTCTGAACCCAAGCTGACAATGAACTAAATGTTGTCTAAGACTTCATTTGTACTTCTAAGGCAAATTAGTATTACAAGCTTTGACAATGGACATTGTTGAATATTTATCAATTCCAAGTCTATGAACAAGTGGTACTTATTGTGATACATGGAGAAAGCATATTACCTTTATTTAAGATGCCGTCTTGTTCGTCTTCTCTCCCTCTGTGATCTATGCCGGAATTGAAAGCTTTAAATAGTGGACCTCACATCATAATATTATTTCTGTTACTCTTGATCTCTTCTGGTCAAAATATTTACCATTTGATGATTTTCAAGATCAGTAAATTTTGATCATGATTTCTTGAGCATTTTTAATATTTTGGATTGGAAAAAGATCCTGTTTGTAGTAGTTTTATATAGTCTCTAAATAATATTTCAAATGGTACATCTTATCATATGTCTATTATTGCTTTGACTTTCAGTCAAAAGTGAGTGGGATGGAAGAGTATCAGTGTAGGATTAATTATTAGAGTATCAGTTTAGGATTAATTAATCTTTTATGCACATGCAGCAAGTTCTATTTGACATTTGCGATTTGTTTTTTAGACTACTTTTGTGATCAGTATAGTGTTCAAGAAGTACTGGATAGTTGAAGTGAAGATTTCCGTTGTCAAGAGAGGGAGGGAGGGTTTCTAAGATATAACCAACTTGAATTGTATAGCTATCAGAAAGAAGGAAATGAAGGATATGGCCCTTCTTATATGGGCCTACAATTGGGATGCAATTTAGCTGAGTCAATCAAACAGTTGACCAATTTGACTTGGCTCATGACTTTTGGAACAGCTAGATTGAGCTGCGGAATTTGTTGATTGAATCCAACTCTATGACTATATGTGATGTCGTTCCATCGAAACATGGAATAGCAACGATGACAACTGTCATTTCTAGCTAATATTGCCACCTTTGTCTCTGGTTCTTTTTCTTCACTTGATTGTTGGCAGGATTTAAAGCAAATATCTACTACCTGAGACAATATTTCGAAACAAGTGAGAAATTGGTTTACATAGTCAACCTTGTTAGAATGAAGCTCTGGGCTCTAAAATTTTCTACGCTAGTTTCCTGTTATCCTCGTTGAACATCTGTTGGTTCGTCTTCTTGGTTCCTTAGTGAACAACTTTGTGAACAAAAATGCTAGACTTCTGTTTGAGTTGGTGATAGAAATATGGATGATATTATTTCCTTGTGCCTGCCTGATGTGTGATATTTTTCTCAATTAAACAGATCTGATGTTCTAGGACAGTTCATGCCTTTGGTTGGGGTGGATTGGTCACAGTCAGGCGTTGCACATCTCTTTTCGGCTATCAAGGTTTTAGGCTTAGTTCATTTTCTCTAATCTTTTTTGAGGTTTATTCAGACGAGCTGTGATGTGGAATGATGCCAATTTCATAGTTATGGCAAGTAATTGGTCAGAATTCAAGTCTTTAGTTCAAGGATGTTCTCTTATGTTGTGAATTTGTTTTCCCTTTTGCTATGCTTGCTAAGGATTGAAATGTCTCTACAGTTCTTCTATGTAAATATATGTTTTAGTTTTCGTCTGATAGTAGAATAAGAATGCATGATGTTGTCCTCTTGTTGCAGGAGAACGGCTATCAATTGCTTTTCCAAAGTGCACGTGCTATTTCACAGGCCTATCTCACTAGACAATTCTTGTTTAATCTTATGCAGGTATGAAAAGTAAGTTTGTCTCAAGTAACCACACTTCTCTTTTTGCTCCTCATCAATTAATTTGGCTTTTTTGTGTTTTTGATAATTGCAGGATGGAAAGGGATTACCAGAAGGACCTGTTCTTACATCGCCTGATGGACTTTTTCGTTCTTTATTTCGAGAAGGTTACGGGCTATTCCTTTCTTTATTTCGTGAAGTGCCTTCTCTTTATATTTTTCGTTGCTCCAAACTATGCATCCCATTGAGTTGGTTATATTCTGTTTGTCCTGTTTGTCTGTATTTTTATGAATCATGATTAGTAGAATAAAACAAAATTATCTATCAACATATGGGTAGACTAAAACCTGATATGGACGGTGCCTGGAAATTTTGTTTTTATTAGATAATTTATATATAGCACGTTGTGCTTTCTATCCTTTTATTGCTACCCTTTTTAATTTGTGTCTGGATTGCTCAATTGCTGGTCCCCTTTTTATTAACTTGCTCTTTGGTTTAAATGTATTTAACATTGAACTTAATCCTGAAGAGAGAACAACTATTTTGATGGTTGAAATTATCTACTCCATAAAAAAATGGTAATGACGCCTGGAAGTTTTTTAGTATCCATTGTCAATATTTGCTGACAATTCTTGCAGTGTCATGTTCTTATGTCCTCCTTTTTACTCTTTAATTGTTAGCAATTTTTAATATCCTGCCGTCGGCACCCTATTCTCTAATTGGTTCAGTGGACTGGCTGTTTCATGCTTTTATCTATGAGCTTAAATGGTGAAATGTGCTATTTCCTTCTGCATTTCTTGCACCATTTAGTAATATGATATTAAATTCTCCCAGAAGAACCGCTTCAAATTCTGCTCATAATATTGATTGAGAGGTGTATCTACCTGTTTACCTTTTGCAGTGGTTACAAGATCTCCTCATGAATTCAAAATTACTTGCTTACAGGTCAGTTTCTTGATTCATATTTTCCCCCCTAATAGTAACTTTAGCATTTTAAACAAAAAAGTTATGCATGTCTGCAAAAGTTGTGAGGCGAGCTGCATCTGGTAGAGTGCTTTTATCGTTTAATGGAATAAAGATGACTTACATCCGTGTTGTCTAATCTTAACTTCTCTGCTATCTTAAGGGAGATATGCCTTGTGATGTAAACAAGTTGAGTGAGAGAATAAATGGGTATTTGGTGCTTTTTAGTTTAACTGCACAAAAACTCCCTGTTTAACACACGCAGAAGTCCCAAATGCTCCAAAATTTACAAGTGGACGTTTGATACAACGCGATTTGGACATAGAAAAATACCATTTAACAGATCTTACTCCTGCTTAAGGTGGATGAGAAGTTGTGTGTTTGTTGTGCCACACTCAAAATATGGCCGTGCAGGAACATCAAGATGTAACTAATGGAATGAATAATCGCAAGATGGATATAATGACTAATAAGAGAAAGCTCGAAACTGTAACTCAGAGTGGATTACGTCTTTTATGATAAATGCAACAATGGTTTTTATTTTGGTGTTTTCCCCCCTATTTATCATGGGTTTTCTCTTGGAATACTATAGGCAGGGAGTATCTAAATTACGGGCAATTGTAGAAGTTTTAGTGGCTAACTTTCAGCACTTTATCTTGTCATCAGCTTTGGCAACATATGCAGATAATTAACTTTTAACTATTGAAATTTTCAGGATGTCAAGGCATTGTTCCCTTCTGATAGGAATCCCTTCTATGCTGGTTTTGGAAACAGAGACACCGACAAGCTCAGCTACCTCAAGGTTGGAATACCTGAAGGAAAAATCTTCACCATCGATCCCAAGGTATGTAGAATCAACTAAGGACATTTGGCAAGTAACTTTCTTCGAGTTTTTGATGGTAGTTCTATAATGTACAGGGCCAAATTGTTATGAACCACCACATAGATACAAAGTCATACACCTACATACATGGTTGCGTCGATGGCATGTTTCCACCCTTGTCCTCACGTGAGCAGGTTGGATTTCTTTGCTTTTCTTGTTCTGAATAAACGATAATGGGCTATTTAGCACATGATAGAGCAAAGAGAAGCCTGTGATTTCTTGAGCTTCACTGTTATCCTTCTCCAAAGTGATGTGGGACGTTGAAAGTTAGCTATCTTGAAGTGGAGCATCAGAACCACTTTCACCATTATATTCGTTTTGACGATTGGCTATTTTTTTTATTTAGTCAGCATGTTTGTTTTTTTTGGAGACTTTAACTCCATCTACATGGCACCTAGAAATTATATATTCAAATGTGGATAATTAGAATTAACTGCTAAAAAATTAGTAGGTTTCGAAGGGGCTAGTTTTATCCCAGTTTTAAAGTTCATGCCATGTTTGCGATGTACGGCGTAGACGACCCAAAGCGTAAAGTATGAGCGGAAAAGTCTCACCGTTGCAGTATTATCCCCATGACTATTTAGGCTCCCTTGATCATTTCAGGGTACATAGAGCTTGCATGTCTCAGCTTTGCCTTCTCAAAACAATTTTACATCGTTCTATGGAGTCCTGGAAATACTAGATTTTGCTGGTTCGAAATTTAATTTTATAATACATATCTAGTGTTTTCTTGAAACCTCAATCATCTTACAGTCGCCAAACAATTTCACTTTTCTAGGAGGATTTTAATTCATGGAATTATTGGAAGCTTCCGTCTCCTATCCGAGATTAGGCCAGTCCATCCAATTATTTTTTGAGATTCAGGGATGGCACTCCCATGGCTATGAAGAGATTCATATAAATTTTTGTTCAAATATTAACTTGGAAGCAACTTGCCCTTGTTTCTGAGAAAAGGAGGGGGGGGGGGGGGGGGGGGAGTGATGGATTCGTGAGAAACTGCTAATTTATGTGTGCACCTTACAACTAAGGTTGACCAAAGACAGCCTCATTATAGCTGTATATTGCACATGGAAGTTTACTAGTATGCTGTTGTATTATACACCCATCCTTCAAAAGGAAGTATTTTACTCAATTTCTGATATTTTACGCATCAATATTCGATAGTAGGATTGCTCATTTGTTGTGCTTTCTTGTATATGAACAAGTGTGGAAGGAAATTACTATATATATTCCACATTGATTGAATAATTTGAACTCTGTATAATGTTGTAGTTTATGTGTGGATGAGAGGTATAGATTTTGGTCATTTATAGAATCTTTTGTTAATGAACAGATTTGTTATGGACAAAGTGTTATTACTAAGAGGAGGTTTTTTCGCCGTTGATGGGTAAATGACTGGAGAGTGTGATGCTACTGATGCATTCATCGTTGTGAATGACACATATACTGGAATAATGGAGACCTGCATTTGAAGAAAATTCTCTCTGAACTTTATGTAGGGGATCTGGTCTCTGTGTAACTGGTTTTGTCAAGAAATGTCCACCTTAAGAGCGAAAGGAAGGTTCGTTTTATCAAATGCTCTAGATATTAGATTGTTAGAATAAGATTTTCCCCTTTTACGCATGAAGAGCCCATTGTGTTTGTCAATCTGTATCCTATAATTCATGTGTAGGTTTTTTTTTAATCACAGATCGACAGGTGATCCGTCCTATCTCTCCTTTTCGTCATAAGGCTTGGTCTGACTTTGAGAGAAAAAAAATCATGTGTTTAGGTCCCTTACTAAGTAGAATTCGTAAACTTTGCAATGGCTATTTGAATGCTTTTTCAAAAGCTTTTAGCATTTCTCAGCTTCATGCTACGTGTTAAATGTGAAGTACAATATACAGGAGTTATCCATAGAAATGTGAGGGAGTAAGAGAAAGTGAAATAGAAAATAAACTTAAGTTTGGAATTGTTCGGTGGTTGTCATAATTTTTTTACTATATTTGGTTTTCCTATCTCACGAAGGAAATGACTACATATTTACCATATTTAGGTTTTTTTTTTCCTTAGCTAGTCTTTTTTCTTGAAGGAAAATGTTTGGACTTCTATAAATTGAAGATCATTCCTTCTCATTCAGTAGCATCCACAATGTAGCCATATAGGGTTTGAGAGTTGTTTAGGGGAAGAATTTCGGGACAAGTGTTAGCCTGCCACTTGTGTTTGCCTCTTCCTGTGGTTGTTCTCTCGATATTTTGTACTCTCTTTTATATAGTAGATTGCTCATCTTCCCCCGTGGACGTAGGTTAATTGACCGAACCACGTTAAATGTTTGTATCTCTTTTGGTATATTTTTTTTTTGTTATCTGATTTATCGTTGTTCAAAGTTAGCTTTACTAGCTTCCGCATGATACCTGATTATTTCGATCCTAATAGAAATATATATACACAAGTAGACTTTTTAACACACAAAGACCACTTCAAAACATAATCCTAATACCCAAGTGCTTCTGCGCAAACTGCACAAGGTTGTTGATTTCATCCTCATCAATGCACCCATTGCCGTTAGAGTCTGCAGATTTAACAGCCCGTTTGCTCTTTAGCCGGTAGAACCAGCCTCCGTTTGAACTAAGGGTGGCATGTGGGTCGGACCCGATCCTAAGTGGGCTTCGTAGTTTCGGTCCTAAGTGGGCCGGTCCTAAGTGGTCCCGTGCTTCACAGGCTTCTTGTTGGAATCGGCCCGGGANAATTTTTTAATTCAAATTTAAAGACAAAAATATTGTAAAGAGATATTCAAAGTAATGCGTTATATATATATATATATATATATACTATACTATACTATATATACATCTTAAGATATATACTATATACTTATATTTTTTTGGGGTAATTATAAAAAGTGTGAGGTTAAAACAAAGTTGTGGGGGTTAAATGACTATTTTGTAAATAGCCCACAACTATTTTGGCAGAGGAAACGACTAGATTTTAAATGCCCAAACAGATAGATTTTTTTTAAAATTTTGGCCGTTGGGACCGTTTGGGATCGTTTAGGCCCGCTAGGACCGGTCCGGTCCCGATCCCAAACGGTCCGGTCTCGACCGGCCCACTTGCCTAATGGAATACGCGTAAGTTATATTCCTAATGGAATAAGTTCGAATTCAAAGTGTTTCAAAGGAGTATAATGCTCTCAAGCCATTAAGTGTGATTGTAAAGCTCAACCTATGTACCATATCAAAATTGATGATTAAAATCGAGTAACATGGGCATTGAATTTGTGTACCTATTAACAATATCGGAAGTTTTTGTAGAATCTGTTCCAATCAATTGCTCGAATCCGATTTCGTCTCTCTTGGAAACGAAATTCTTGTTCACGAACTAAATACCTTGTTTTTGTTTATCATAGTGTGTTTCTTACTTTGGGAAAAATCACTTCTTAATCCCATTCTCTGTTGAGGAAGATAAATATATAAAGGAGAGAGAAGTTTAAACGGATCGCACATTCCCATTATTTTTTAACGTGCAATAATTTTTTATTTTATTTATCTATATTTTAACTTTCCTAGGTAACCTCTTTAAGGTTTTATCTCTTCTAAATGAGTAGGGTCAGTCCATATGGGTGACCCGCGACCCAAACCCAATATCCAACATCTCCCACTTCGCACATGATGGGCTAGATTCAAACTAGTGCCATGTGAATAACACACGTAATTTATACTAGTAAATAATTCGTGTGACTTGCGAGCAACTGGAGCTATAATATTTCTGACTGTTTAAGGTTATTTAATATATATAGCTTAGTCTAGAAATCCAATCAAATTAGAAAAGGATTCACTACTAACACGAAGATTTTATTACTCGTTATACCCCAGACATCGTTGGCTACTCTAAGTAGTTAGTTATTCGACCCCTCATCCTCGAAAGAGGTGAACTCGAGTTCATGTATAGCTTTATCCACAATTACACTTGTTACCCTATGGTAAGTGTAATGGCCAACCAATGAATATAAGTTATATTATTTATTTATTTTAGTTGTCTCCCTTTTTTACTCGAAACTATCCATCCCAGATCAACTGCTTTCCTAGACATGCACTGCATTGCTAAATTACACGTAGCTATTAGTGACATGCTAAAGTAACAACATTGATTGGTACTTCAAGATACAATAAAATGTCAAAGGGTATTCCAAAGAAAGTTAATTATGATTTTCTGGGTCTCGCACAATGAAGAAGCAGGGATCCATTCTTTCATTAACCCATTGGTTGCTAAGCACACGTGGTATGCAATACGTGCTACAATATTCTTGCCTTATATTGGCGCATGCGTCTTATTATTTTTAAATAATTCATTACCGTACGGATCTTAGTCTAGACACCCACAAATGTCTAACTTGAATTTCTCACTTCAATAATCCTCAATCCATCTTCTTAGAGAAACTCGCATCTGGCTTACAAAAATAAGTCATAATCGAATGGTGGAATTTATGAGTCTGACTAGTTATCAAGACCGACCTTTTGCAAGTGAATATAACCTCGTATTATCCAAGGTTCTATAAGGTCTTATGTCTTCACGATTCTTAACGTAAGAGGCAATTGCTCGTGTGAAAGAGCCAATCTCGCGACTTGTTCGACATACTTTATCAACAAAACATCATCACATGTATACGAGATATAAGCATAATTTTACGAGTCAAATATTGATGAGCATATTATAATAATAAAGTCATTTTACAATACATAAATATGTTCATATCCTTTGCAAACCAAGAGCCATAGCATGTTTCTCAAACAAGTCTCTAGATATCGCCTTTATAAAAGGACTAGCTATCATGCTTCGCGTAGGAATGTATTGTAAATTTATCTATCCACTTGCTACCATGTCTCTCACAAAGTTATACTTGATGTCAATGTATTTGGTCTTGTTGTGATACTTAGGATCTTTTGTGTATGCCTATCACAATAAAGAGTCATGGGACCCTGAGAATTCTTTGTAATATCCAAATGTTCGAAGAATCTCTTCAACCAAACAACTTCTTGTACGTCAGATGCACAAGCCACGGACTCAACTTCTATCGTCGGAAGATTAGTACACGTTCGTTTTTTACTTTTCTGTAAAATAGCACTACCATTAAGTAAGAAAGCATATTCGGATGTTGGTTTTCTATCATTTCGGTCACCAACCCAATCAACATATTTATATCCTCTCAAGTATAAATCATTTTCACTATAACATAGTGAATAATCTGTAGTCCCTTCATGTATCTGGAAATTCTCTTCACAGCTTTTCAATGATCTCTTACAAGATTGGATTGATACCTGCTAACCAGACCTACGGCATAATAAATGTCTGGGCTAGTACATATCATAGCGTACATCAAGCTCCCGACAACACTTGAATACGGAAATCGAGATATGTCTTCCTTTTCATTTTCAGTCTTGGGACACATTTTCAAGGCTTAAAGTTTCACTTCTCGCTATAAGAGTATTCATGGATTTGCAACTATTCATGCAAAAACGCTCCAAATTTTTCTTTATATAAGTTTCTTGAGATAGACTCAATACCTTTTTGGAACGGTCTCTTTGGATCTTAACTCTAAGGATATAGTCTGCCTTACCCATATCTTTCATGTCAAATGACTTTGAAAGCCATGACTTGATACTTTTCAAATACTCTAAATTATTTCCGGCCAATAAAATATCGTCCACGTAAAGAGAAAGAATTATAAATATCCCATTGGACTTCTTCACATAAATGCAATGGTATTCATTGATCATGGTGAAATCATACGAGATCACCTCCTTGTGAAATCTCAAATACTATTGCCTTGCCGATTGCTTCAGGTCATAAATAGATCTTTTCAATTTAAAGGCCTTTTCTTGGATTTTAACGATGAAGCCTACAGGCTGTTCCATGTAGATTTCCTCGTTTAGTTCTCCATTGAAAAAAGCTATCTTCACGTCCATTTGGTGTAATTCCAAATCCAAACATGCAACAATAGCCAAAAGTAAACGAATTGAGGTAAATTTCATAACTGGTAAAAATATTTCTTCATAATCTATTCCAGCTTCTTGAGTAAAGCCTTTTGCCATTAATCATGCCGTATATCTTTCTATTGACCCATCCACTTTGAGTTTAACTTTGAGAACACATTTGTTCCCAATGGCTCCACGCCCTGACGGAAGGTTAACTAGATCCAGACTTTGTTGGTTAGTATGGACTCTAATTCTTCTTTCATTGATTTTATCCACTCATCTTTTTTAGGGCTCGATAAAGCCTTAGTCACAAACTTTAGCCCATCCATTTCTATGGGAGATACCAAGAAAACGTAATCATCAATCTCATAAGTACGTTTGAGTATATTTTTCTTGGTACTCTTTCGTAGTGGAAATTCAAATTCGTTAGAAGAATTTTGGGATGCGAACTCCCACTCCCACTCGGATCAAGAATAAGATCTTGATCGATTTGATTATCAGCTGTGTCAGAAGACATTTGCTGACTAACTGAGTTCAACATTTCATAAAAAGGCTCTCCATTCTTTAACTCGCCCTTCTTTGGAAAATTATTTTCCAAAAACTTGACATCTCGTGATTCAATCTCAGTAACACTTTCATCCTCTAATTCACCAATGAACATATACCCTTTGGAGTGTTTTGAATATATTATAAAGATACATTTCTTGCCTTTTGGACCTAATTTACCAAATTTGCTAATTTTTTTTTTACATATGCAGCA